AAAATTTTTGGGAGGATTTTATGCATACTTTTTTTTTGGAAATTTTTTAAATATATGCATTAATTGCTTTTATATAAATATTTTCAAATAACATCAAAACAAATATGATCAAAAATATTATTTTCTTAATTAAAATTTCAATGATATTCATTATAATAAATTACAAGACTGATTTTCGTGATTCATGTTGATAATATTTTGTCAAGATAAATATGAAAACATATTTTAATTTCTAACCATAATATTAAGTATATTTTTTTTTCCAATTAATTAGGTAAATTCAAGTTGGTAAATTAATCATTGTCAATATAATTTTTTATTAATCTTTATTTCGTTGTATATGAAAAATAAATTATTTCTCAAATTAATATATTTTATCATTTAAGAAATAATGAACAAATACATTAAATAGCTTTACTAATGGTCGAAAAATAAAATTGAAATACATTAAATGTTGTTTAGAATTTATTTGTATAATATTGTCAACTATGTTTAATATTTTTATCATTTTTTATATATAATAAAATTCATGTAAAATATCTTTTTATTGCATAGTATGCTACATAATCTATAAAGTCTTATGATGCAAATTAGAAAATCTCTTGACTATAGAAGAGATGACATTTGCTAAATCAAAGTTGTTTAATTAGTATACTAAATTAAATTTAAAAAAACATATGTGTATATTTTGTAAAATAATTATACACCATTTAATTTAAATTTATTTACATAATTTAAATTGATTACATAAATAAAATAATACTAACGTGCATTAAATATTTTTCATTACATAAAATAAAAGAAAAGGAAAACATATTGCTTCTACAACTTTTATAAAAAAGAATGACATTATATGATAACAAAATTTATAATAAAATAATAATTAAGTATTATATGGTGAACAAAAATAAATAAAATTTTAATTTTATCTTATATTAAGGAATAAATATATATACTAAAATCAAATTATATTAGTATAGATGTGTTAGTGAGATAATGTATTAATTAATTTACAGGCGAGTGCTAACATCTTCATATTTAATGTTTTGGCTAATAACGTTGATTAAAAGAGGTAGAAAATAGATGATCAAACTCTATCGTTTTTTAGCCTTAAACGGACAAAGTCTGTGAAAATGACTAAAATAGGTAGAAAATAGATTATCCAACTCTATTGTTTTTTAGCCTCAAACGGATAATGTCTGCGAAAATGTCTCATTTAATATTTTTGTCTTGTGCATATCACTAGTTAGAGAAAGCACAATTAGTAAAAAGCATTGTCATCATCTTTAAACTTTACTCTAAATTGAGGACTTGGGATTGGGAGCGTTACCTTTTCATTTGATTTTTTTTCCTAAAAAAAAAATCTAAATAAGTATTATTTTGAGAATGTGAATAAAGTATAAAATTGGTTAAATAAAAATTATGAAGAAATGCATAAAATGATTGGTTGCTGACATTATTTTAAGATAGAAAAAAGATGGTTTTAAGTGATTCTTCCAAGCGAATAAATAAAAAAAAAAAGTGAATAATACAATCTTTGAGAATTATTTTAAATCACAAGAAAAGACAGTAAAAAAAAAAAAATCCAATTTCATTTTATGCATTTCATAGATAACTGTCATGTTTTAGAAAATAATATAAAGAACCACAGAGCAAGTTTCAGTATAAACATGCACTGTTATTTCATTATTTTTCAAAAAGTATGACAAATTCGATCCTTCTAATAGTTTGGTAGGCTCAAACAAAAACAGATTTGTGCAGGAAAAACAAATTTTGAAAAGACATTTTTTTGCAATGACAATAAACCGCAATATATATATAGTTTCTCAATGACCAAACCCACCTAAAAACAACAATCTCGCGCACAAAACAAACTCCTCCCATTTTTCCTGCAAATTTCCCAACACATCAAAACACATGAGTACACCCAACAGACTCTACAAGCACACCCATTTTTCATGCAAAATCACAGTGAACCTAAACATGAAACACATGCGTACACCAACACAATCGAGACTTTGACAACAATGAAAAAACTGGCTCGACTCAGAAAAGCCAATTGAGACTTATATTCCCGAGCCAAATCAGTAGCGGGAACTGTGCCAGGGCAATTAAAAGCAGCAGATAATGATGCCTGCTCGAGTCGTAACTCCTGACCTCAGCAAAGAGGACTCTTTTCATGGTCTTCACCAAGAAAATCCCCATGCACAGGCAAGACCAAGGCAGCATGAAGTAGTAAGAGTAGCTCCAGACGAGTTTTCCGAGCATGGCCATGGATAGGCCCGTGAATGTGTAACCGGCATAAGCCACCATGTCGAGCAGCGGAGCTTCGCCGCTGCCCAGGGAGAATAAGGTCATTTTGAGGAGGGTGACTTGGAAGGACCAGCCGACGACCCCCTTGATGAATAGCCAGTTTAAAGCCTCGGGGCTAAACCTGAATTCAGCCAAAAAAAAAAAATGTTGTATTTACAACTTTCGGCAGGTAAAGAGGAAATAAAGATAACAAAAAGTGAAAACGACCCGTCAAATTAAAATATGGACAATAGCCACGTAACACTATTTCAAAATTTTGGAAGAAGTTGACAAATTTCGAAATTTCACAGCAGTATACAAGTAAAAAATTTGGATTACACTTTGAGCATTGTGAAATATATGTACACATACACATAGTTAAATCTGGTTTTTTGGGGCCCTTCATTACTTCTTAATACATTTGAGGTTGACATGCATATGTGTGTGTGTATATATATTCTCTGTACAAGTTTGAATTCAGCCATATTCAACTACAGGGGAAAAAAGAAGAAAGAAAATCGGGGGATGCATAATGTGAGAGATGTCAAGATAAGTTTACTGAGCACTGTGAAACATGTGTACACATATACATAGGGTTGTAAACGAATCGAATCAAAGCGAATACCCAGAGATTCGATTCGATTCGTTTAAAATATTTGATGACTCGATTCGTGATTCGATTCGATAACGAATACATTTTTTGATTCGTATTCGATTCGTTTAGGATATTCGAACATATTCGATTCGATTCGAAATTCGTTTTCAAAAAATATTATAATTAAAAAATATTATAATTACAAAAATAAATTTTATTTTCATA